ATGAAATTTTTTAAAATAAAAAAATTTCTAATTTTTTTTCCTATAAATACCTAAGCCATTTTTACACTATTTCTCACATTCTTTTCACCATTTCATACTATCTTATCTTATTTTATTTCAATATGGTAGTTTAATTCAATTATGTCTGAAAACCTTAGAGACAAGTGACACTCAAAATATGTCGGAAAATCTTATTTTAATATGGTAGTTTAATTCAATTAACCATATTAATTTAATTAAAATAATAAATTATTGAGCGGGCTAAAAAGTAGCCCATTTTGGTTGGAGATGAGTTTTTTGTCAAAGGGCTATGTTTTGTCCTATGGTCATTTGGCTCATTCGGTTGGAGATGGTATAAAATATGGCTAGCATTGTTCGTTAAAAAATAATTTCTTGTAGGGCTATATGTAACATTCTACATCACCCAGGTGAGTGAATTCTTGAAGTCTTATATGTACATACTTCCCTCCCTATAGCACGAGGCCTTTTGAGAGCTCATTGGCTTCAGGTTCCATCGGAACTTCGAAGTTAAGCGAGTTCGCGCAAGAGCAATCACAGGATGGGTGACCCACTAGGAAGTTCTCGTGTGAGTTCCCAAAAACAAAACCGTGATGGCGTGGTTGGTGTCCAAAACGGACAATATCGTGCTACGGCAAAGTCGAGCCCTAGATGTGGTGGGGGTTGGGGCCGAGTTGCGACACTATAGGGCTAAACATGGTCCTTTGGCCCTGAAAATGCCATATCCAACTGAAAGAGCTAAACATAGCCCCATCTAAAATTATAACCCTGCAAAATATTTTTTTTTAAATAAATAGTACCAGGCCATACTCATATATTGACACACCCCGACCCGGAATGTCCACTAGGACTCCGAATCGAGCTGTGCTGGCCGACACCTGGTAGGTGATGAAGCCATAAAGTCTGACGATGTGGAAAAATTGGGAATAAATTTAAACCTAAGAGTGCCTAAATACCATAGTGCACTGGTGAGTGAGAATAAACCCACTTCACACGTGACGTTAGAGCATAAGTAAGTACAAAATAGTGAATTAAGAATCGTACCCTCGAAATAATCTCCAATACTAAGAATTGCCATGAATCTTCGACGATAAGAAAGCTCAGCTGATAAAACCTGGAGGGTGAAGACAAGACAAGGGTAAGTGGCCCTGTAAATAAGATTTTAAAAGAAACCATATAAAACATTATAACTCCTCACTGTAACACCTATATAATTTCCAGAAAAATCATAATATATCACAACATATCATCTCATCAGTAGTATCAAATAATCATGCGATTAATAACTCATACTAGTACGCAAGTCAAAGTCACCTAGGGTGACCTGTATGACTTACCCATATCTCATCACATATACTAGTTCATCACCTATTTCATCACACATGCTAGCTCATCACATATTTCACACATATGCTAGCTCATCACATATCTCATTACATATGCTAGCTCATAAGTCGGGAGTCACCTTTAGTGACATGTACGACTTATCCATATCTCATCACATATGCTAGCTCATAAGCCGGGAGTCACCTCTAGTGACTTGTACAACTTATCCATATCTCATCACATATGCTAGCTCATAAATTGGGAGTCACCTCTAGTGACCTGTACGACTTATCCATATCTCATCACATATGTTAGCTCATAAGTCGAGAGCCACCTCTAGTGACCTGTACGACTTATCCATATCTCATCACTTATGCTAGCTCATAAGTCGAGAGTCACCTTTAGTGACCTGTACGACTTATCCATATCTCATTAATATATCATTAATCATTACTAGCATATAAGTTAGAGTCACCTGTAGTGACATGTACGACATATTCATATGTCATCAATCAATCTAGCTGGAGTCACCTATAGTGACCTATACGGCATATTTATATCTCATCAGTTAATCTAGCCGGAGTCACCTATAGTGACCTATACGGCTTATTCATATCTCATCAATCAATTTAGCCGGAGTCACTTATAGTGACCTATACGGCTTTACGCCACAAAAGTCGAAACCATTGTAGTGGTCTGTACGAAAAAACTGGGTGTAAACGAATACGCTCAAGTGCTACGATCACGTGAAGAGTCACCTACGAGTCGGAACCATCTATAGTGGTCTGTACGACAAGCCTGTGCACCTACGTTGAATTCAAGGTAAGCGTATGGTGCGGGAGGTGAACATTACGTGAAGGATTGTGCCCTGGCCACGGGCGGAAGCACTAACACCAAGGTGCATGTTTATGAGCTTTAAATGTATCTAATATAACATGTACGATTTATATGCAACATGTACGACAATGCCGGAGTTGCCTACTATTGCAACCTGTACAACAGTGTCGGAGTTGCTTAAAACATAAATGTAGTCATACCATTACCCCATTAATTCAACTAATACCATATACTTCCCTGAATTTACCTGAACTTACCTGTGTGTCCTACGTTCACCTTTGCACTTTGGAGCGTTCACAATAATTATGTGCAAGGAATATACATATAGAAATACCAAGATGTAAGTCTAAAATTCAACATATCATAATATTTCCAGATATATAAACATATAAACAAATGGTCTATAACGCATAAACTGTAATGCCCCATTACCAAACTAGGCTATTGTCTCGATTATTCATTCTCATTTATTATATGGTTGCATCTAACATTTCGTTAGACTGCCTACGTACCCTAAACCGAGATCAAGCTATTCGTAGTTCGCAATAGTATTTCAAAGCATTCACAGTAATCATAAGCAATAATCAATTTATAAACATTTATGGAATTGTCAATTATATATATATATATATATATATAATATAAAGTAGAAAGGAAAAGACCCACTCACCTAAGGTCCGCGCTACGACTCCTTAACATGCATATCGAGACATCATGAACCATCGTCGCCTATAACCAATTATCGAATCACATCTCAGAGTTCTGATCGATAAAATACATAATTTACATAAAACGCATCCCTACGCAATTCAATTCGGAAGATCAGCATCACAGATTTCCGATCCGTTGCTTCCAAAGATCCATATTATACTTCTTGAATAACATCCTAAGGTTTCACTATGATCCAAATGTCGGATCTCCGCCAATTGCCAAAATCAAGTGGCGGTCAACATTTTATTTTATGAACTTACAAATCCAATTCGAGAAGATCCGTACGTCGGATTCCCAATCCGTAAGTTCCTATGGTTCTCAAACATTACGTACTATAATATATTAAAGTTTGGTGACGATTCAACGGTCGGATCGTCGATTCATATAATGACCTATTAACGTAACGTAGAGAATTTAGATTTCAACAATCAACCTACATCATACAACTACCAAAACTGAACTCAAGGTATCTAATTAGCCTAAGAATAACATCGACGGCCCCTTGGCCATGCGCCGTCGCAGGTGGTGGTCAGCCGCCCCAGCTAGCCGAAAAATTCAACTATTTCTAAATTCTCAAAAATTACAGAATTGAAGTTCTCAAAGAGTAGAGCAAACCTTATACCTGCGGCCAATGCCAATTTGGACAGGAAAAGCTCCAATTTTGCTAAAACAGTACAAAACCCTAGAATTGGGTGTGATTCGATTCGACCTCCAAACTTGCTCTAGGGGAGTGTTTTGGTAGTGGTAATTGAATGAAATTGTTTCAGGTTTGGTCGATCTCGAGCAATCCTTCCTGCGGCACCCATGGTGGTTTTTCCATCAAACTTCAACCAAATTCCTTCAAATTTTGGGTGGAAATGGAAGATGGAGGGCTAGGGTGGTGTTTCTAGGTAGTGGTTCAAGACAATTCACCAAAAATTGGCAAGAAAATGAACGAATTTGGCCTTGAAGCTTGGCCAGGTCGCGCAGGTTAAGGAGAAGACCCGACTTCCCCTTCTACTCACCTTCCCTCATTTCCCTCATTTCTCTCCTCTCTGGTTGGTTAGTCTCATCTATTTCTTCTTTCTGATTGGGCAGTAGCCCTCTCCTTCTCCTTTGATTCTTCTTCTTCCCGATTCCCCCTTCTTAGCCACACCCATGTGGCCCAATCATTTAGTACAAAATAATATAATATTCTTAGAATAAATTATTTCTTCAAAATACATTCGGTTCGTAGCTCCATAAAACTTTAATTGTAACTCCAAATTCACTTCTGCTTGCATTTACGAGTTTGTATCGTCGAATACTTCAGGAATACATTAAAAGAATATTTAGTACGTTTCACTACGCGTTGGTCAATGAAAGTCAACACCTTCACTTCTAGGACATTTTTGTAATTTAACACTTTAAAAATTATAAAAACTACAATTTTTAGGGACGGGCTGTCACATATATCATCTCCAACCAAAAGGGGCTAAACATAGCCCCCTCAATACTTTATTAGTTTTAAATTTATACTTCAAATTTATTTGTTAATTTAACTAAACTATCGTTGAATGTTTTTAACATTAGACGTTCAATTTGAATCAATTATTTCAAGTGAGGAGTTGGGGCCCTAAAAAGGGGCTAAGAAAGAGGCTATATTTGGCCAGCCTGATGTCCCTTTGACCAAATAATGACACCTGGTGGGCTCCATAGAATTATAGCACAACCATCGGTTGAAGATGAAAGTTTGAACAAATTAGACCATTTTTTAACTTTTGAACCTTTAGCTCTCTCCATTGAATATGGTCTTACAACCCGCACCAATGGCACCGGGCGGTCGAGTATTGAATGAATAGGCAGCCCAGCCCAGCCCCTTCCCTTTAATTTTAGAATAGAGATCGATCACCATCTCATATTGCACCGTTCTTCCCCGCCCGAACACCCCCTGAGTGCCAACCTGCTCGTGCTCATAGCTTGATCATTCTTAGCAAGGGGAACAACTTACGCACTAACCTTTTCACCTTCTGCACTCCTCCCCTTAATTCTGTCGCTCGATTGTCAGTTAAAATCGCTTAACGACAGGGAGGAGTCCAGAAGGTGAAAACGAGTGCAGAATTCAATTCCCGTTTAGTAAACCCTTCATCTTCACAAAGGAAAAAGGATGCACCCAATTTCATTAACCATTAAACTTATTGTCCGAATCGATAACAAACGAATACAAGTCATATAACTACTACCAATACTCTACTACTAAGACACAATCAGCAGCCAACCTAATCTCTCTGCCGATCTAATGAAGCATTACCAAACCAAACAACACAACTCTATATTTTGTCCTACGAGTTTCCAACCTCACAAACAGGTTTAAGTTCAAGCGTACACCACACAGCATTCTTAACCGTCACCCTCTCGGGAAACAAAGTGCATCGGGTTAAAACGAAACCCGTTGTCGACAAGGTTATATCACTCTACTTCAATAAGACTCTGCCTACTTCGTCTTTCGCAACATCCCTACAAGCCTAATACTTTAGAACCTATACATATGCTATTGCTAATGAACCTTCAAGTGTCCAGCCACAGTGAAGCACTACCGAGACTAACGAAGCTGGTATTGGGACCTCCGTCCGGGCGGTTGTTGAAGAATAAATGCTTCCTGTGGCCCCTTGGGTGTTGCAATTGCTTCTGAAGTATTTAGGACGTTCGATCAGAGGAAGCAAGCTCATTTTTCAGAGTTCAAGTTGATATTTGACTGGGATTTGTCACCCGATGTCATTTCATCCTGTTCGTTCTCATTTTTCTTTGCATTAAGAAAGCGACCCCCGCATCCTCTAGCTCTTCTCAATGCATGCTGGTGTCGAGATTCATGCAAGTATGGCTGCAAGAGTAGTTTGAAGTGCCAATGAATAAATGAAGCCTAACTAAACGTTTCATTGAACACAAGATGCAAGGATTTGCAATCCACAATACTACCTTACGATTCTTAAGAGCTTTATTTTCAGATTCTGCTTTAGCACGAGACTGCCTACGTCGCAAGATACCATGATATTGTTTTGCATTTACAAACACAGGTTCCTCAACTGCATCTGACGGCAGTGGAACACCTGCTTGCTGGATTCCCATCAACTGAAGATGAACCTGAAATGAAACACACACGGTAATAACAATAAATTTCAGGCTCATAAGCAAAATGTGGTCTCATCTTGCCATATTCAAGTACTATTATCAAGAAATGGTATCTAAAAGACGGGGAAGATATACCGTTGGTTGTGCGGCCCCATAGGGCTGTGAAGGATATGGCTGTGTTTCATAGGGAGCAAAGATGCTTCTGTAGTAAGGGTCTGGATAGGGGTAAGCTCCTGGTGCCTTCAATTAGACAAGCGAAGCATAATGTATCAAAATATTTGAAATACAATTTGGTACAGATGATAATTTCTCTGTTTTGCTCTCTAAGTTGTATATCTAACTAGGCAGAACCAGAACATTGATATGCTGTTTATTCAGTTACAGAAGCACTTACAGCAACCAATTTGTTCAAACAAGGTCAATAGTTTCAAACAAATAGTGAAAGTAGTCACAGTCAATTATTTATACACTAAAATAGGAAGGCAAAGTAAACAAGGGTATTCTAGGAAAGGCTCACCTAAAGAGGAAAAACTATGCATTAATGTATAGGGCTAAGAACGCTTACAACAAAGTAGGTAACAAAATGAACCAGATGAAATCTTAGGCCAAGAGGAGACATGCACAAGCTGCCTCACAGGATATTGTTTATTTCAAAATCTATGCCAAGTGCCAACTATAAGAGTTCGAAGATGATTTCCTCACATTATTATTGCAAAGGAGCTGGTTATCTTAAGCTTAATCTAAAGCATTTACATTAATATTACAAACAAACATATACATGAAACTTAGCTTGAGAAGCAAAACTTACCAATGATCCTTAACATTCTAGATCTAGAATAAGAATATTTCAAACGATAACAACAATTTCGCCAACATTAGTTTGGAAGGAAGGTTGCAAGAGCAAGTAGACGGTAAATCATAAAGGAAGGATAAAGGACGAGAAGGAGATTTTTCCTTCCATTTGTTTAGTAAAAAGGATGGAAAGGAGGAAAGGAAGTGTAAACACAACTTTCATAATTATACCCTTACTTAAATTTAATTGCTTTGGGACAACAATGCAACCCGAAACAAGATCTCTACTAGAAATTAAACCCCCACAAAATCAAATTAAGAATTTCACAGGTCAATTTGAAACACTTCCTTCCACCTCCATCCTTTTTTTCCCTTTCAAAGCATAGTTTAATCTCTTTATTTACAGAAGATCAAAATTTTTGAGACTCAAAAATATAAACTGCCTAAATACCTTGGAAAATACAACATTGTCTTCAAAATAAAATGCATTGATCTTTTATTTCACGAATAGCTTTTTCCATATTTTTTTTTAAGTGTAAATTTTGCAATGAATGTCCCTAATTATGACCCACTATGCTGACAAAGAATCATAACAGTGTGATACCTGTAATTTAGTCCTATTAATCCACCAATTTTTTTACAAGTGATAGCCTCTAATCCATTTTTTATTTTTTTTGCTTTTTCCTTTCTCAATCTTGGATGCATGTCTTGAAGGCTAAATCTACTTTCTTTCCAACCATATACAAATTCTCTTGGGGGCCATGTGCTTGCACATTGCTTCCCCAAGTTTAAGAAGCAAACATCTCATATGTAATAAAATTGCAACTTCAAAATCATTAAAAAGAACAATAACTGTAAATTACTTGATGAACTAAGTAACCTGTTACCACATATATGCTTCAGCACATTCTAAGACTTGACGATCAAACATGGTGTATAGGATCACCAATGTATACAGGGCAACATCTACATAAACGTTCATCTTATCTTCGCTACCTGGAGTCATGACAAACACACACATATACAAATATATGGCACCAAACAAACCACAAAATGGATGACACAACAATAAAGTAGAACTAGTAATGGACTTCCTCTTGCATGAAAACAAATCAACAATAAAAAAAAAGTTTTAGATGGATTACCACTGCATGTCCTGTTCCAAATTGTGGAGGTACTGCATACTGCATATTTGTGGTTGGTATTCCGGGATGAGACATTCCAATTGCAGGTAAGGATGAATGAACTTGAGACTCTGAATGACTTTGCTGGTCATCAGAATCACTATTATCTGCAAAACCATTATCGTAAAGTATATAACATTGCAGTTCAAGAAATGGTACACAACCACACAAGTGAAAAAAGGACGAAACAAAAACCATGATGCCAAACATCACGAAAAGAAATAAAACCAAAATCAATAACAAAGAATTGAAAGAATTGAAAGAATTGAAAGCTTGAACGTCAATGTTATACAGCCAGAAATATGAGAAAAAAGTGCAGTACATCACCACCTCGGTCATTATGTAGCATGGAAGCAATATAAGAAACACGTAGTCGGGACGTGATAAAACAGCATTACTAGACAGCATTAAGGCCGACTAAAACAACACAAGGTAGAGCCTCCCTTAGGGCACACCTCAAATTAAAGGGGTAAATGGATTATCAGTGAGATGGTAAATTATGTAAACCATAATTCGAAGTCAGGAATACCCAAGGAAGTTGAGGACTGGAACAGAAACAGATCTTGCTAACATCAAACCATGATTTCAACCTCAACTTCAGAAATGAGATGGGTATTTGGCATGAAAAAGGTAGGCAGATGTTTAATCTCACAAAAAGTTATTGGGTTCTAGAATAATCCACAAAAAGAAAACGAACAAACCCTTACTTGAACAAGTTTAATACAAAATTTACACCATTATTTTTATCAAAGAAGCAGAAGAACCAAAACGACCAATTTCTTGCGACATTAACGACTCCAGCTCAATTAAATGCCAGAAACATGCGTCCTTATCCATTTACAGCAAGTCGAATGGACTTAGTCACTCAAAGGTATCACATATGATATGAAATTTATGAATATGGATTTTGGGGGAAAAAAAAATTACCAGAATGATGGCGCACAGAAGAAGTCATGAGGATGTTGTATGTGGAGAGTTGGAAAACAATATGTAGCTGCAAAGTAATAATCACCCAGGTCAATGTCATACCAAAATAACATGTTACTACAATAATAAGAAAGTATGACATTGCTGAATTGGAAATCTATTAGTGTAAAAAATAGAGTCCATCTGTGTGAACGAGTGTCACCACTATCACTAAAAAAATATCTCAAAAACAGAAAATTACAAGCAGACCCAATCTACCAACACCAAGGCACCAAAAATCAACCGAACTGCAACAACACAATCGGAATGTTGACTCCCATTTCGAATGGGTGAATACCAGATCACAATGGAGCAATCTTACCATTGCGTCGAGGCTCGAAATACATAGATAAACAAATCATCAATAAACAAGAATTCCCTCTACTCTAAAGTTGTAGCCAAAGCTGCAGATTTATGCTTAATAATTCTTCAAGAATGCCTTGAAACAACTAATTTAGCTCATGAAACATAATCATGGTTAAAAGCAAAAAGTAAACCCTACTCATCTCAATAATTTCCAATCGAACCAATTAAGTTAATCTGCATGCCCAATTCCACAATCAAGTAAGAAACACAGAATTAAACCCAGAAAATTCAGCTCAATTAACTCTGAAAACACCTAATAAGCAAGCCAAAAAAAATCAGAAAATCCACCAAATCAGCAAGAACAAACAAGTCCCCAGTTCCATGCATTTTCCCCCCCAATTGCACCAACTGGAGAATTCCCCATAATTGGCAAGGCAAAATAAATTAGAGAGCAAAAAAGCTAGGGTTTCGAAATTTGGGAAATTTACCCTTTATTCGCTGGTTGCTGCCACTTAATTAGTAAAAATTCTGCTTCTTCGGCAGGTACGAAAAATGGCGTCTGACGGAATCAGAATTCCTCTCCTCTCTCTCTCTCTCTCTATACATATATATCCATATTATTATCTCTCTCTCTCTCTCTCTCTCTCTCTCTACATATTATTACTACTTTCAGCTGCATGCCCATTTATAGCCATACAACATTTTTATTTTATTTATTTATTTTATTTTTTGTGTTTTATTTTTATCGGTTAAGTGTCGAGCAGGATCGGGAGAGGTGAACACGTGGCCTGTCGGATGGAGGGGACTGTTTAAGGCAGGGGGGAATGTGCTGCCCAGAGGAGGATTCTCTCCCTCTCTTATTTGAACGGTCACGATTAAACCACGTCAACATCTTATATTGATATTTTTATAGAGACAATAAGATAAAAAACAATGTATTAGAGGAGGAGAAGGAAAATGATGAGAATAAGAGGAGAGAAAATACTACCCCGTCGGAAGATAATCTGGTCCAGAAATTCAGCGGGGCCTACTGCGCGGGTGAGCGCGCGGGATTGAGAATGACCGCTGAGCTACATTTCCGTTAGGGTCCACGTCTCTCTAAACTACCAATTTCAAAGTTTCTTGACAAAGATGCTTAAATACACAAAAGGAAATTATAGCAATAATTGTTCAACTTTAATTCAATTGAAATAATGGTTTTTTTAATTAAAAATTTAATACTATTGGTTCCCTAACTCTTCAAAACGTGCAACGATGGTCCTTTTCTTTAACTCTGTTGGAACGTCCGTGAAAATGAGTCACGTTCCACACACATAAGGTTGAATTGAGCGGCAAATATAGAAAACCAAATGAGAAAAATTATAACAATAGTCCCTCAACTTTAACTCAATTGGAGAAATAATCTCTCAACTTTAACTCAATTAGAGCAATGGTCCCTCAATTTTAACCCAATTGTAGCAATGATCATTCTAATATAACTTATTTTGATGGAATTCTAACGGAATTAACGAAAATGATCATAACTACATATTTTGATAAGTTAAGAGACCACTAGTAATTAATTTTTAGTTAAGAGGTCATTGCTTAAATTAAGTTAAAATTGATAAATTATCGTTATAATTTTCTCACAATACAATTTAATATTATCTTACTAAATAAAATTACAAATAATTATAATCCCACACCAATTAAGTATTTTAAATTTTTCTTTTTCCGTCAATGTATCATTTTTATTTAAGGAAAACTAATGAAAATGGTTTGAAACTTTTGAGTTTTAACGATAAGGACAAAATAAAAGGTAAAGTGAATAGTATCAGATTTAACTTTTTAGTGTAAAAATATGATTTTTCATTAAAATAAACAGTATCGCGAACTTTTCATTAGAACTTCCTTTTATTACTCTCTCTCGTATATTTTTCGTGGGGCCTACTATGTGGGCCTAGGCTGGGCTCTTTCTCTCTGTGTTTACTTTTCTCTGAGAGCAATTCCACCCCAAAACCAACTCCCCAGCACCCAGCCAAAAAAATAGGCCAGCCCCCTGTTTTTTTGCTCCAGCCCGTTACATTGCCTGGCACCCAGCTCATGCCAGGCAACAGCCCATCACATTTTGGACTGACCCAGAAGCCGGCCTGTTTCTCAGGAGCGTGCAACACAAGCGCGCAAGGCGCGAGTGGGTTTCAGGGAAACCTGAAAAGGTGTCAGCCCACTTGGGCTCAGCGACGTGGCTTCACGATAGCCGTTGGATTTCCAACGGCTAGTTTTTCTAGACCGTTGGATTTCCAACAATAAAAAAAATTTAAATTTTACTTTTAAACTGGACCGTTCGATCAAAGATCAACGGTCCAGATTAATTAACTTAATTAAAATTTATTAAAAAATACAGAAAAATGATTAAAAAATACAGAAAATTTAAAAAAAATTATTTTTTTCTTTCTATAGTTTATTTGATGAGTTTATGTAATTTTATTTTAGTGTGTTTTTTTTTTAAGTTTATTTGATGAGTATGTAATTTTATTTCAGTGTGTTTTTTTTTTAAGTTTATTTGAAATTTTATCCAAAATTGGTTAAAAATCATATCCGAAATAAACTTTAAAAAAAAAAAAACATACCAAATAAATGCGCTGGGTGCCAGCGCATTTTTTTAGGGGTGGAGATGCTTTGGTCTGTTACTGTTCACTAGGGTATATTACTGTTCACTTGAGTGGATAAATGCGCTGGGTGCTGGCACAAAGTCCTTAGGGGTGGACTTGCTCTGATGTGAGTCACGGAGGAAATGAGAAATAAGAAGACAAAGTAGGAATAAAAACAAAATAGTAGTAAACAACACCAGTCCGTATAGGAAGGGTGAGGTATTTATGGATAAACAACTTATGATATTGTGATCGAGTGAAAAGTGTGTGGTGAGATTGTTTTTCATTTTAATTGTTGTGGTCATATTTTATTGATTTACTGTATACGTGGATTACGTAAGTTGACCATCAAATAGGATTTGGCAGGATCCCCTCCTTGGGGGTTTTAGGATCAACGAACACGGACCGTTGATTAAAAATGCAGTCATAATTTTTTCTTTTTTTTTATAATTTTTATATTTTTCATGCAAAACGATGCTGTTTTACTTTTTAAAATATAAAAAACATTTAACTAGGACTGCACGATTTTTTATCAACGATCCGTGTTCGTTGATCCCTAGGATCCCCAGTGTCACAGCCCGTCCCGGAATTTTAATTCCGAGGACATGAAAAGATGAAAATGCCCTTAAACGGGACTAAGGGGCGAAAATTTAACAATTTGGATTGAGTTGGACACGTGGGATCCCCACACCCCTCAATCCTCTCCCTATTTTCTGCATACTGTCTCTCTCTCTCCTCCCTCACGAATCTCTCTCTCTCTGTCACTCTTCTTCTCCGCTCGAACAAACCAACCACAAAACAACCTTAAACTTCCACCAACGACGGAGTTAAGACCACCATCGAACTCCTGGAGACTCCACGATCACGTAGACACCAATTTCAGGTAAGTTTTACTTCGGAAAACCTAGATTCTAAACTCCTCGTGAAAGTGCACTGTTCATGATCTTCGAATTGACTTTGTTTTAGGACAATCCAAGCTCACAGTGAGCTTAGTGAGGTTCCAAGGAAGCTCGGAGTGCTTCGTTGGAAGTTTTTTGACGTAAGAACACGGAGATCGATAAGTTCAAAAGTTTGGCCGGAGCTTTCGAGGCGTTTTCCGGCGAATCCCCGGCGAGTTAGGAGTTTAGGTAGGTATCAATCTCTTCGTCTCGTCAAGTACTACAACTTTCCTTTTTGTTTCACTCAATTTCGTTGAGTATTGAAGAAGTTATACTCATTTGAAAAATACCCAGTTTCCGGCGACCTCCGAGGCTTTCGAGGCAGTTTCCGGCCAAACCACGGCGAACTAGGTGTTGGGAAAGGTACCATTCTCTTTGTCTCTTCAAGGGCTACAACTTTCGTTTTTTGAATCACTTGATTTCGTTGAGAAATGACAAAGTTATGGCAATTTGAAAAAACTGCCCAGAAAACGGCCGCCGGAAAAACCAGTCCGGCGACCCAAGGAAGAAGAAGGTGCTACAGTAAAAATAAAAAATAAAAATAAAATTATTTTAAAAATATGTCGACGTCCGTGACGTCGAGTAGATCACTGTGGTATATTCATATACCTAAATTGAACACCGTATGAGAAAGTTATTGAAGATTGTTGGTTAGGTGTTCAAATAACGTTTTATAGTTTTCACATTTAGGTGAAAATGTGAATTGATGATCCGACCGTTGGATCGTCACCAAACTTTGATACGTTGTAATACGTAATATTTGAGGATTATTGGAACTTACGGATTGGGAATCCGAGTTACGGATCTTCCGGAATTGGAATTGTAAGTCCATAATATAAAATGTTAACCGTCACTTAGTTTTGGAAATTGACGGAGATCCGACCGTTGGATGGTAATGAAATTTTAGGATGTTGTCCTAGAGGTATAATGTGGACCTCTGGAAGTTATGGATTTAAAATCTGAGGGGTGGATCTTCCGGATCAATCTACGTAGTGACGTATTTTATATAAGTTATATATTCTATCGATATGAATTCTGAGGTTGGAATTGATTATTGTTTTAGGCGCCGATCGTCATGACGCCTTGGCGTATTGTGCTAGGGAGTTGTAGGGCGAACTCCAGGTGAGTGGGCAGTTTTGTTTTCTGTATATATATATATATACTTAACGTTTTCCCAGAAATTGAAAATGCATGAAATTATGTTTAAAATGAAATGCATATGAGTTATGTGGAAAAACGGGAAGTGAAATACCATGCATAGAATTGATATGAAAAGTATATAGAAATGTGAGTTGAAATGCCATGCATGAATTAATATATGATGCATATGTATGAATTGGTGCGGTGGACGCATAAGTGAGTATTTAATTACTGTTATGATGATGATGATATATATTGAGCTCAAATCCTGCACCATGGTTTAGTGCTTATAGTATTCACCGCATCGCACGCTCGCCTTGGATCCAAGTAGATGCTAGTCGTACAGTCCACGCGGAGTGGGTACGACAGACCAGTCGCGAGAGTGTTAGTGAGATTCCGACTGGTGGGTGACCTTAGATTATGTGCACAGATGATTTATGAGAAGCACTAGAGCGTAACTTGTGTGCAGAAGGCCGGACGGGTCACAGAGGTGACTCCGGTAGAGTGATAATGATAGATTTTGAGCTCTAGGTTCAACCGTATAGGGCTATTAGAGGGCCTACGGTTGATTACTTTCTTGCACCTGATATGATTATATTGATGCATTCATACCTTATTACTGTTGAGATGATGTGGCATGGCATAATTAATATATGAGAAATGTTGAGATGACATGGCATGGCATGATTGATAAAGAGATAATGTTGAGA